CTGTGACACCCTCTGAGCCCCAGGACAGCTCTGTGACACTGTGCTGAGCTCCAGGACAGCCCTGTGACAATGTGCTGAGCCCCAGGACAGCTCTGTGACACCCTGCTGAGCCCCAGGACAGCCCTGTGACAATGTGCTGAGCCCCAGGACAGCCCTGTGACACTGTGCTGAGGCCCAGGACAGCTCTGTGACACTGTGCTGAGCTCCAGGACAGCCCCAACAAGGGCTTAGCAAGGTGGAAGCAGAACATAAGCCAAAGACAGATGTTGCAGTAGCTCTCCTTGCAAATCAGCCACTCCTAACAAACTTCCCCTCCACCACATGGCATTTTTCCCATTAAACACTGCCATGGCTGTGGAATTGTCTGGGTCCAGGCTGTGGTTCCCACCATCCCTCCAAGGCCAGGGCATCATGAAAACAATGGAGCCAGGAGGGGACTGTCAGCCTTCTGCCTTTGACTGGCTTTTTTGAGGCAGCATTTCCATCTCCAGCTCTGTGAGCACGTACAAATTACATAAGGCACGGGGTGATATCAGTTCCCATTAATTGTGCCACTCCATGGGCCTGCACACGTGCCAAGGGGCTCCCACCTTGGAACCAGAACTGTCCTGGATCCCTGTGCCCAGGGGAGGAGGGAATGTGCTCAGACCTGAGTTCTGCAGTAATTCCACTGCGTATGCTGGAGTCTGAAGCATGAAATACAACCCTAGATGTTATTTGCATTTGCAACACCCCTTTGTAGTTCTGCACTGCTGTAAATGATGAGAGAAGAGACATAGGAGGAGCCTTTAAAAGAAAAAGCATGAAAGGCTATTTTTTCCCCTTTTGCTCATATTGCAGGGACTTGTTGGAAGAGAAATATTACCCCAGCAGCCAGTGCCGCTCTCCCCAAGCAATATGGGAACTGTGAAGTTATGAAATTGAGGGCACCTTCACTGAGAAATCGATTAGCAAACTGAGAGAGCTTGTGAATTGGATGTCTGGCTATTTTCAGTAATAAATTGTGAAATAGTCCGTGAATAAGTGGTTCACAGAGTTCAGAATTACCCCCTAGGAAATGTTTGAGACCTGGAGATACATTACCGAAGCGAGTGGCGTCCTAATGTTCAGTGCTTCGGCTGTTAAATATGTATGTAATCCCTACAGCGCTTCCCAAAATTAATAGTGCTTTATGGCTGCTCTGGAGCCGGCGTATTTATATCGAGATCCATAGATTCAGCTGATTCACAAACAAAGCACTAATTCCAGAGCAGAAAGCCGAGGAGGCGGCGGGGGAGCCGGGATGGAGCCGAGCTGCTCGTGCCAAGCTGAGCTCCATGGGCGTGATGCGATCAGCTGGGCTTTGGGGCTCTGCAAATGGGGCTTGGTGTGCTGCCACGTCCCCTCCTGACCCCGCTGCTGGGCCCACGGAGCACCCCTGCCCCTCTGTGGGAGCACAGAGCCCCAGGGCAGAGCTGGGGGATGGCAGGTGGGCAGTGACAAGCACCAGCAGCCCCACCTGAGCCCCCTCCTCAGAGCACCCCACCAAAGCAGGCAGGGATTCAATGCCCTGCCCTCCCACCTCTTCAAACCCCCTGTGCCTGGACAAAATCACAGAGGGCCAGCACAAAGCCTCTGTGATTTTGCCTCCCTCACCTTCCCTCTCTGGCCACCCCACAGCAAGGACAGGAGCCCTGCAGACACCCCGAATTTGAGCCAGGGACTCGCTGGAGGTACCTCACCTCCTCTTGCCTTCCAGCTCTTGCCTGCTGCCCACCACATTTTCCATTTCCATCTGTCCTCCACACGTTTTTCCCTCAGGCTCCCCAATGTTCTTCATCCTCAGTGGCTGCCCAAGCCTGAGAGGCACCAAAGGATGCTGAAATTCGCTGTGTGACTTCACCTGCTGCTAGGGAGGGATCCACAGGTCACTGCTGTAGCTCCTGTGCCCTGTGCTGGAGCTCAGCTCTGCTGTGGGTCACACACCCCCAACTCTCCCAGGCAGCACACAGCACCAAGTTTCCCTGGGCTGTAGCAGGGCAGTGTCCATCAGGTAGTGCCAGCACAGAGGAGCACCAGGGAGCTCAGTTTTGGGGAGGTTTTGGGGTGGCCTCACCTCCCTCACTCTGAATCTCACCCACCAGCCCCCCGCTCGCTGTGGTGAATGGCAGGGACCGTGTGCAGGGCGCGGAGCTGAGTTCGTCCTCCCCCTCTTTTACTGTTTCTAACACTTCATTTTCAGAGCATGAAATGGTTCTTTTTCTCCCTGAAATCCTACCAAATGGAAAACAGTTGGCTGCTCAGAAGAGACAAAATTAAATTTTGTGGGGTAAACAAGGTTGCTAATTAGCTGATGCGCTGTGCAAAGTTAATTTATTCCCAACATGTCACAGTGCCAGCCCTGCCTGGAGAGCCGGTGCCTGGCGGCTGGGGCTGACCTGCAGAGGTGGCCTTGCCTCCAGCTGACCCTGAACTGGGATTTTTTGCTTTCCCTGAGCAGGAGGAGCCCTTTGTCATGTTCCGTAAATCCGACACGGCCCTGTTTGGGAATGACCGCTTCGAGGGCTACTGCATCGACCTCCTGAAGGAGCTGGCCATCATCCTGGGCTTCTCCTACGAGATCCGCCTGGTGGAGGACGGCAAATACGGGGCCCAGGATGAGAAGGGGCAGTGGAATGGCATGATCAAGGAGCTCATCGACCACGTGAGTGAGCCTGTGGGCTGGCTGTGCCAGGCTGCCCAGGCTATCCCTGGAGATGTCCCTGGGTGGGACATCTGTCTCTCTGGGGTGGGGCAGGTGCCATTTCTCACTGGTCCAGAATAGCCACAGTGAGCTCCTGACCCCACCTGGCTCTTTGTCACACGGGTTGCCAGAATATCCCTGTTCCTCAGCCTTCCAAATATTAATTTAATTCCTGAAAAGGGTTCTCCCAGCAGAGAGATGGGCTCTGTGGCTCCAGGCACAGCCTGTCCCACAGTGGGTGTGTGGAGGGCAGAGGTTTCCCCTGGGCCCAGGGCACGTGGGCTGTCCTGGGCTGGCACCATGAGCTGCTCTCACCCCCGAGGACAAACACAGGCAAGGGCACAGTGATGGAATTTGTGGTATTTAAATGATTCTGAGATTGTAGAAAGTCTCTGTCAGTCCCGCTGCCAAAGCAGAAGCCATAATTGGTCTGTGCTGGTTTCCAGGTTGTTTATTCTGTTTATCTCTCACATGTTCTGCTGCCCTGCCCAGCTCTGTCCTGCAGGGCAGCGTGTGGGGCTCTGCCCTCAGTGGGATGTGACAAACATTAAATACCAGAAACTCCCTGGGCTGGATTTACAAGAACGTGCCAATATCTGTCACCTACGTTGGACAGTGTGTCCCCAGCCTGAACCAACAGAAAAATGCCAACACCACAGTGAGACATGGAGGGCATGAAGAAGGAGAAAAAGGACAAGGCACACCCAATTTCCTCCAGCTTGTCCCCTTTGGACCCCTCATCTAGAATCCTAAAATTTTACTTTTGCACCCGTGCCACACTTAATTATGACTCATATCAAACACTCAGAGCTGGTAATTGATCCTGTAAGATTGAAAACTCTTTTGCATGGCCAGAGATCACAGCCAGTGTCTCTGGGGGCTCTGTCCAGGAGGGTTTCTGACCCCTGCCAGGGTCCCAGACCTGCCAGGGCAGCCAGAGGGATGCTCTGAATTCCCACAGCACAGCACCAATGCAGCCTGGGGACCCCAGGCCTGTCCCAGATACAGCCCAGCCCTGAGGAGATACCCAGGCTGCAGGAGCAGGTGTGCACTGGACAGTTTCATTTTTTATTTTCTATAAGAGCAACTTATTCTCTAAAATCTCCTGGGACACGGAGCTCCCTGTGCCACACAGCAGCTGTGTTTCTCCTTCCGTGGCCACTTCCAGAAGCCCATTAAGCCCCAGGGAACCTCTGGCAGCAGCAGCTTTGCTCCCACAGCCGCCAAAGCGTCACCGCGTCTGGAACCGCCACTCGCGGCCAGGGGTTGCTCACTTTCCTAATTAGATATCTTGCCTCCAGCACATCCTGCGATCCCAAGGGCCCAGTTATGGAGGTGAGAAAAGCTGGTGTTTTTATGAATATCTGATTCCCAGAGAAGGCCTCTGGAAGGAAAGCTAAGGACAAAAAGAAGCCCTGCTCTCTGCAGCACGGGCAGCAGCGCAGGCAGTGCAGAGAGCTCTCCTCCTGAGTGTTCTGCTCAAGTGGGGCAGCACTTGACCACCTCCAGGTCCTGGCTACATTCTGAATCCACAGCCTAAGCAGCAGAGACACAAAAATAATCCCCTGTAGAGCTGTGATGCTCTTACCATTCATGGGAGAAGAATGAGTTTGCTGGGTGAGTCACTGGGATGTGTGGAGAGTCAAGCACTGGCTGGGACTGATGAGTGGCTCAGGAGCTGTGCTGGGCTTCCAGATCTGCCTTCTCTGCCCTAAATGACATTGGACAAGTTGCTTCTGTGCACTGCTTCCTCCTTCTGTAAAATGCAGATTATATGATTATGTTCCTGTATAGGGACAAAGTGACACTTAATCAGTTCGTGCTCAGTCTACTGCTTATTGTCCTGCAGCCCTCGGCTGGCCTGGTCCAGGGAGCAGGAGCAGCAAGGGCAGGCAAGGACAGCCCTGGGGAGCAGGACTCCATCTCATGGGGGAGCTCTGCAAACCTGCCTTGGTGCTTTTCCTTCTGGAAAACTCCGTGCAGCTCAAACACAGATTTTAGAGCCTCTTACACAACAGCCCTGCCAAGGTAGATGAGCAGCAGTGTCCCAGTGGAAGCTCTGCTGCTCCGAGTGATGTGTGTGACACAGATCAGAGCTGACACCGAGTGGCAGCTGTGCCCCAGGCAGTGCCCGCCGGGACACGGCTCCTCTGCCCAGCCTCTCTGCTGGGAGCAGCTTCTGGAGCTCATTGCCTGCAGGGAGTGGCTTCTGGAGCTCTCCCACTGCTGGGAACAGCTTCTGGAGCTCATTCCCTGCTGGGAGCAGCCTCTGGAACTCATTCCCTGCTGGGAGCAGCCTCTGGAACTCATTCCCTGCTGGGAGCAGCCTCTGGAGCTCATTCCCTGCTGGGAATGGTCTCTGGAACCCTCCCACTGCTGGGAATGGGCTCTGGAGCTCATTCCCTGATGGGAGCAGCCTCTGGAACCCTCCCACTGCTGGGAATGGGCTCTGGAGCTCTCTCACTGCTGGGATCAGCCTCTGGAGCTCTCTCACTGCTGGGATCAGCCTCTGGAGCTCTCTCACTGCTGGGATCAGCCTCTG